AAGCTAATTTGTCTGTAATAATTACCTATTAAATAAATAAATAAATAAATAAATAAATAAATAAATAATAAATTAACTACATTAACTCATAAGGAATTACTGAAAATTTTTATGATCTTATTGAGATGCATTTTTAAAATTTAATGAAAATTTTCTGTTACACTTAATATGCTATATGGACTGATTTTATAAGATGTGGAAAATATATGGACTTGTATTCAAATATGTACCAAAATATGAAATATGGAAAATAAAAGGAGATTTTTCAACTCTATACATTGTGAAACATAATTAAAGATAATTAGATTTAATATTTATATTAGCTTATTTGGTAAATATATGTTTACATAGAAATTCGTTATAAGAAGATGTAACTATTACAAATACAAGAAAGTGTGAGCTGTTGAAGCTCCATTAGTTCTTGATTCAACTTATTGCAGTCGACCTACTGTAATTATACTTGGTATTATTGTGTTTTCGTTCTTTTTGTTACAATGTAATTTCAGTGCAGGCAACAACAATGACGAAGAATAGTTCTCTTTTCCAGTGAATGAAATATTCATTTTGTACATTACTTATATTCTAGTCTAGAATATATTTTGTTGCATTAGTTATTGGTGTGGTTCAAAATTCTGTACATTGAGTAGATTGAGATATATTATTTTAATGTGCAGGATTGGGAGAGCCACCTCCAATGACAACCCCTGCTGCAGCCCCCATCCCCGAATTGACTGCTGCTGAGGAGAGAGTGGAATCTCGCAATTGGCGGAGTTGTGTGGTTCAAGGCATCGAGCGACGCATTGACATGAAGGTTTGAATATCTACTTTATTTAGCAGTGTTTCTTTGTGTATTACTTTTTCGCCCTTACAAATGTAAGAAGAGAAAAAATTGTAATCATGCTCCAGAAAACGGCGAATTTTCGACAGGGAAACTCTTAATGTTGGGTACCGGGCACCGAAAAATGGATAAATCCTGTACCTACATATAGTAAATTCCTCTAACATGTGGTGTAACTACAATCCATGATTTGCAAGTTCTTAATACCGAAAAATCAATTGACAGCAAAACGTCCATCCATTGATCTGTGGTCAACGCTAGCGCCTGAACAGTTCAGTAGTTTTTCTCCAAAATTGATATTTTCCTATCAATCCGAACAAACTTGAGGCTTTGTGTGATTTAAAACAGATATTTTGATATTTGAACGTACTTTACTTGTAGTCTCAAAAACTTATTTTCAAAATTTTTCTCAAAAATTCCCCCCAATTTTTTAAAATTTATTAATTTATTAAACTGTGTCCTTGGATAGTGTGCAGGACCCTTAAGAAAATGGTGCAAGTCTCATGTTCATTAAAAACTCTGATTTTAAAAAAATTGCAAAAGTGCAATTTTTTGGCATCTTCCTATAGAAGAGTTTTTTCCTTAATAAAATCTTGTAATAAGGTCACAGTCAATTTTTTAAAAAAAAATCTTGTGTAATTTTGCACTAAATATAGGCGATTTTAAATTTTGTAACAATTTTTTAAAATCCACTTTAATTTTTTTTCAAAAAATTTTATCTTTGTAACAAAGGGCAGTAACAAATATAATGTTAGTCTCATTTTTGATCAACTCTCTTTAGTTTTGAAAATTGCAAAACGTTAAAATTTTAAAAGTACAACCTCAAGTTCGAAACTCACTGCATTTCGTTACCCTTGAAAGATGGCTTATGGCAGTAACTTGGAGGACAAAAGATTGAGTCTCTGTGCAGAAAAAAATGGTTCTGGTTGAAAACACTTGTACATTTATGTAGTAGTGCAGTGAAATCTGTCTATACCAGAACCAGTACAAGCCAGAAACCTGCCTTAACCAGAAAATGTCTCCGGCCCGTGACATTAAATGGCTTTTTATACAGCGTAAAACACAACCTCTTCAACACGAAAACGGAATGGTTTTTCATGTCTTGTAAGGAAAAAATCTTTATAAAACCAAATTCCTGTGCAATTGGAAGATAGACGCAAGATGTTCCTAATAAAATGAATGCACCTGCGAGCGTGTTTAAATTCTCTATCCCCGTGATATGCAATTCAGTCATGGCAGCCGGATATTGAAGGAGAGGGACCTCAGCTGTCAACGTAGCATTCAACCTTGGGTCAGCTTGTCTCTCAAGACGCAAGCCATAAGGGAATTCCCTCTCTCCCGACCAGTGTTGCCAGATGCCGAAAGTGAGAATGAGAACAGGGAACCATGAAAATGCAGAATATCCCACCTGAACCTCCAGGAGGAATTACAGTTGCTTAGAAATGCAATAAATAGAAAAGAACAATTGCTTATTCTTAGTGTTCTTACTCATAGTCGTGGGTACATGTTCCGGGTTTTAAGCAGATAGAATTTTCTCTGCGCTGTGATTGGATCATAGGATAGTTGGGGGAGTATCTCCGACAACTAACCATACACAGTGCGGAAAAAGTCGTAGTCATGGAAAAATTTCGTAATTTCTTGGTATCAGGACGGAATACGGATTGGACCTCAAGAATGCCGAAGAAAAGAGGGAAATAGGAATCTGGCAACACTATTCCTGACTCTGAGTATAGGAAAGTGTATGGGCATGGCATCTATTCACGCATCTCCCTGCCCAGCATTGAAACTCTTCGAGCAGATATGCAGTGTTCACGGCCAGCGAGGATATCATAAAGTCATTGTACTGGGTTGTAAGCCATTGTGCGTTGAGTCAGCAAGCAGTTCGAATAACAGTCATTAGGCAGTAAGGTGTTTATTTTTCAACTCAGAAGCTGTCAATGAAGAGGGTTTAACATTAATTCATTGGTGATTTCTTTCTTAAAAAACAATATATGTTGTTGTATTTTCATAATTATAATATAGACATGTGGTGTAGGCCTGCTAGCCTACTATTTTCAGGGCAGACATATCAATGTCACAAGTGTCCTAAATTAATCAACCTTGCATAAAACGGAAACCTCCCTAAACTGGAATTTTTTTGTGTCCCGATCGATTCTGGCTTAGACAGATTTTACTGTATAATATAGTGGAGCAGTTAGAAATAAACATGGCTTCTCACAGGACAAGCATTGTTTCATCCACCAAATAAATGTCGAGCGCTAGGTTATTCTTACAGCTCCATATTGCAGTTCTATGAGTTTGGGTTGGTGATTCCCACGCATTGTGACCTATGTTGTGTTACATCCACAAGAAGCAGTTCAGTGGGACAACACAAATCCGACAGATGTATACACACTTTAATCAAAGAAAACTAAGGCAAACAAAAAATAGAAATATATACAAGGAGGCCTGCTGGCGTACCTGAAGAAATTCTAAGCTGTGTAGCTCTTACTATTCTATTGGGAATGCAGCGGCACTAGGAGGCAACTCTCTGTCCTTTCTCGAAGGAAAAGAAAAAACGGTGGGCTGGTGCTGGTAACCTCAGTAGCAATGGTGGTTTTTGGCAAGCACTGTTCTGGGTAGTCGGGTGATAACCGATTGGTGGGCAACTGTCCTTAAGGACACCCTCCTCAGGCGAGATCACTCAGTCGGCCAGAGGCGGCCTGGGTTGCATGCAACAGCTGGCAATGGCAGGGCACCACGGTGCTTGGGGAGTTTCACACACATCCACAGAAATTGTCCAGAGCGACATCGTAAAAGCTGTCACATTAGCGCTCACCCTGGTACGGGGATATTACAGAATGGATGGCCTGGTAGTTCAGGAGTCTATGTGTGCTCACTCATTATACCTTGACATTTGAATCCTGTGAGTAGTGTGTCTACCTCTTGCAATGTATATCATGAATATATTGCACCACGCAGAAGTGCTCAGTCTAGCACCTCTACACCCCAGATTAGTTACACATCATGTTGCCTAAGTAACCCCCAGGATCCCAAACTCACTCCTCATCAGCCTTGAGCGAGGAGTGCCTTTTTTTCGAGCCTTGTCGTTTAATGCCCTCAAGTTCCCACCCACTTCTCAAAAAGAACAATGTCGCTCTTGCTAAACAAGTTTTGGCAAAATAAAAAGCATCTGAACAGTAGTTGACAGTAGGTTGTATCCACTGAATTCTGTTTTGTAAGTCAATTTGTCAAGCACAAGTGTGCTAATCTAACTAACCCTTTGCTGTAATTCAAAAATAAACAAACAAAAGAGCAATCAAAATTCAATGAGTTGTTCTAAAATGAAGGTCAGAAAGAGAGCGGGCCATAGCTGTTCAATTATCCCTCTAGTTTCGTATAATGTTTTCGGGCAAATTTAAAATAATGAATGAGAATCCGTCCACTGACCACATGGTGGTTGGGGAGCCACAAAATAGGAGCAGGGAGTAAGGATGAGAGGTTCAGATGAGAGAACAGATTCAGATGGCCAAACAGAAAGATTCAGATTGGTTAACAGAAAGATTCTGAGAGACAGGTTCAAGCAGACATTAACTGAAATCCTCTGTACTTTCTATTTCAATCATGACCAAGCATGTCATACTTTTAACAGCACGTTTAGTCACACTTACGCTCCAATGTCATGTGACTGCCAGAAGCATATAAGAGGCATTTGAACAAGTCTAAAACAAGTTATAAAGCTACTATCGACATCCAATTCACCCTTTGTGCCAGTCTTATGGTGGCTGACCTGGACTTCGAAGATGGCATTTCTGTTTGGCAAACTTGTACTTCATCAATTGCTATGGAAAATCATCCCAAGTGGATGCCCGCAACCCGCCATCGACATGGGCCCCAGTCTGCTTCGTAAGCCACGTCTTCACAAATTGCCAAAGGGTAATGTGCCGACTCATTTGTGTGGGCTGCTGTGAATTAATAATAGACCTTAAAGTTACAGTCATGATTACCTGTTAATACGTACATATAAAATTACACAAACTTATGTACCTAAATGCATATATTTCGTTAGATTCTTTTCCTGTTTTGTTAATAAACCCGCACCGTGGCTTTGACAATGTGATTGTCATCTTGAGTGTGTGTAATTAATAACCTAGAATTCGTGGTACTCTGATCCAAGACCACCCAATCTTTCCGAGATCTCTAGAACCGGCATTATTTTGGGCAAGGCCGACACCATTCCTTGCCCAACCCACCTTCTATGTACTTGACATATGTCCCATTTTATAAATATTTGACTTTGGATTATTACATAAAAATTGGCTGACAAAGATGGTTGAATGTATGACTTCATTACATAAAATTGTCGGCCGAACATGTTTGAACATACCGCCTATTACACTCCGTTTATTTTATGAATCCAGGCGACTGGCAGGTGTGTACTATGTGCCCAGATAAACTACCTCTGGCCCCAGCCTCTTCCAAATGAGTGGATAGAGACTAATTCACCTTTGATCAACTGGCAACAGGACCAAGACTTGAACTGAACTCCAGAGTGACTGGAGTTGTTGTGGGGCATTGCTATGGTGACCCCTATTATAATCTCCGTATTGTGGCTTCATACAGGTGTAATCGAACACAGACGAGAGTTGTTTGTAAAATAGTAGATTTATTAACAATCGAGACCATAGTCTCAATTTAACTAGTACCCTGCTCACAATAAACTAAATAAATAGACCCACTACAAGGAGAGATAATTTAAGAACGGCTACCACACCGCAACATACCACCGATGTTCCCTTTATGAAGTCGCTCTACTTTGAGACCATCTACGTGTCTCGCAAGTCACGACAATGTATTGCCGGCCCCTCGCCTACATGTACACTTACCTATAGTGCACTTACATGTACAGACACACGCTCCACCTGTCGCCGACGCCGCTAGCCCAAGAAGACTGGGGCATTGTCCTCCTGGCCTTTATATAGGCCCTTTGGCTCTACCCGCTGCCCCCATTGCCTCCTCTCCAAAGCCGCTCTGGGCCCACTACATCCACAGAAAGTCCAGTGTGTCATCACTCCGCCCTTTGTTCAACATCCGGCGGTTTGAGCGTGGCATGACGCTACAATATCAACTCTCCTACACCACTCCGATATCTCCCTCAGGAGCTTCATGTCACGGAGATCAAGTGTGTATCCACTTGTATGTAAGTGTGTATCGTGTGTGTGTGGTTTTATTTTGGGAAAGTTCATTGTTTTATAGTTGCTGTTCTTTTATAAGTTGTATAAGTGCAATTGTTAACGGTATATGCTACAAATAAGGTCAAATATTTTCATGCAGTGTTTCCTAGAATACATAAGAAAATTGACTGGTTGTGTTTAAAGTTGTTTGGTGAAGAGAGTTTTGCAATAGATTGCCGAAATGTTCATTGCATATAATATAAAAATTGCAATTCATTTTACATAACCATTACAAAGAGTATGAGAAACTGCCTTACATTTCTTTGATATAGGTTACAGTGTTATCTGTATTTTGTTCCAGGTGATTGAGCCTTACAAACGTGTGTTATCTCATGGAGGATACCTTACCGCAGGATCACATAATGCTATCATAGTATTCAGTGCTTGCTTTCTCCCTGATCGGAGCCGTGTTGACTATGACTATGTAATGGATAACTTGTTTCTGTAAGTTGTCTGTCATCTTAAGTTATAATTTTCTCAATCTCTACTGATCCTTATAAAGACGTTAACAAAACTTTTGATTGAAGTGTTCTTTATAATTTAAACTGTTTTGAAAGATATTCCCCAAATAGTGTCAAAAAGAAAAGAATCATTTGAAATCCTTAAATACACAGTTTAACAAAGCTATCTGATTGAAATTCCAATAATTTTGGGCATATGTTGGAATTTATTTGCTGTAACTTATAAGGTGAATAAATTTTATGAATTTAAGTATTCACAGAAAATATCTCATTTTCTGCAATCTTCATTACCAACAATGCCATGACACACCCCTTCAATGTCAAACAACATTACAAACATTTCACAAACTTATTAATACTTGCTACTATTTAAATGCATTTATTTATTTTTCCAGATATGTTTTGACTACTTTGGACCAGTTGATTACAGAAGATTATGTTCTTATCTACTTGCATGGAGCTACACAACGTTCTTGCATGCCTACATTCACATGGTTGAAGCGGTGTTACCAACTTATTGATAGACGTCTTCGAAAGAATCTCAAAGGACTGTATCTTGTGCACCCAACGTTTTGGCTGAAGACTATTGTCTTAATGACCAAACCATTTATTAGGTGCGATTATCTGTATTTTATGTTGGCTAGAAAGAAAATCCGAAAAAAGTAATTTTTGTACTGAATATCAATGAAACTGAAAATAGATTATAAGAAAATGCTAATTGTTAAAGGAAAGACAGTTCAATTGTGAACACTTGGTTTTTTATGTTGCCATGTTATTCAGATGGATTAAGAATGCATTTTGTTTGCAGAGAAATCTTGGTTTGTTTCAAAATTGATTTTAATCCTCAAGATGTTGATATTTTGATTTATGTATATGCTGATAACAGCGATTGCATTTCTCTAGTCAAGATGCTTTTGTGTGACAATTTTCCCTATATGTGTCTGCTTATTTTTGCCCCAAAACAAAGGAAATTCACTTGTATAATGGTTTTCATTTGGTTTTTGTTTTTAACCTTTTGTATCTAAAATTACTTATAACCAACAAGAGCTCTCTAGACCATAGACAGTGTGAAGGAAACACCATATACAAAAAGAAAAAAATGATAATAAAATTATGCTGGTGCTAAAAATAAATTTGGAGAGAATTGAGACATCCTATAAAGTGTTCAGAACATTAACTGATCGTTCAGTGCAAACTTTGAGTAATAAACATGATAAAAAGCCAAAAAGTAATTCTCTACCCCCAAACACCAATCAGGATCATTATATCGATATTTTATCCATTATTAATTTCCTCGATTTTAGGGCAAAAGGAATCTGACACACCTAGATAGAACTGTTGAACAAAGAAAAAGTTAAAATTTGTTACCTAGTGTTCTTTGAGAATTACTTGTCTTTCAGTCAATTTGTCACAGAAAAATCCTTTAAATTTTTTATTTATTCATTATGGCTTGTTATTGCTTTTGATATAGAGCTCAATGTACACTGCATTACTTACCTGCGTCGAGAGGATTTTGGATATGAGGGAAATATGGGAACAGTTGCATGGTGCTACATGTTCTCAAGGGAAATACAAAAAGACAAACAGGGTCAAGTTAAAAAATTCTTTAAAATTTGTGTGTACTTTACATGAAGCCCATTGAGCTTTTTCAAAAACAGCTCCAAATTTTTTGTTTAAATTTCTTGTAAGAATAGAGTAAAATACACACAAATGTGGCATAGGTCCAATTTTCTAGTTTAACTCTGCATTTTCAAAAATTTCCAAATTTTTTGGGCATCTTTCTACAACTACAAAATTAAAGGTATTTTGACCTATTAATGTCACCTATTAGTCACTCAGAAATATGTGGAAGTTGTATAGTATATCATATATCCTGTTGATTGCACTGTCCTGTCGATTTTCTTCGTGAATGAAGTAAAATTGTAAATAGTTCCCAAAGAGCTTCCAGGAACTTTAGACATTTCTTTTGTGACACTGATGTTCATGGTTTTTAAAGAAAGACTTAAGTCGGAACAATCACCTAAACATTTTCTTTAACTTTATCCAACACTTGAAATTAATTTTGTGTCCATCCATCATTTGAAATTTTGCAGAGTGTATATTCATAATCCGAAGAACTGAGTAGCAAAATTTTATTATGAATGATGTTAAAAAGATGTGACATGAATTGAAATATTTTTTATTGCTATTATTTATAATATTTTTCAATTTGCAAAAATAACTTACAGTTTAGTTTTCTTGTTACTTTACCAAGGAAATGGGTCGAAGAAAGAAAGAAACTGTAACAGCGTCACTGTTAGACAAGGAGGGTCAAATGGAACAGCCAACATGTGAGAAAAAGACTGAGATAATTCCATATAACCCTGTACTGCAATCTTAAGGTTTATCCACATGGTTTGTAAATAACAATACTATAATATAAGCTTTCATTTGCCAGCATACTTATTAAATATGGTGCTGGTTACCAAAATAGTCAGCCAAGAGCTGACCAGCAGGGTTCCCATCATGGCACAGGTGCAGAAGGAACTTCTGCCTGAAGTACAAGTAATTCAAGTGGACCACAGCATATCAGTTCAGTAAACAATCTCAATAACAATGCAGGTGCAAATGAAAATTTTTTAGTCAATTGACTTTTAGATTTAAAATCAAATAATGCTTACAAAGAGTATATGTAGAAGTTTCTTTGATGGTTTAATAGTTAACATATTGCAGGTTTGAGCGCTATTGAAGTTACGTATTTAAGGGTGAAAAGTCTTCAGACTTCTTTCTCTGAATGAAATAAACCCTGTGTCTCTGATTTAACAGTATGTAAAAGAAGTCCTAGCCTCAAAGACCCTACAGTAATACCACTGTTTAGCGACATTGTAGCGATAGGTCACATAGTCATGAAGTACTTGACCCAATTCACAGCTGAATTCAAGATCATTCAATCTTGAGCAGTAAACAGCTCAGCTTTAAGAATACTGAAAGAGTACTGACATAATTCTGACTGATATATAGAAACTACAAATGCATGAACTATTGGAATTACTGGCCTGTCATGGAAAACGTTTATATGACATATATGATTTCCCTCATCGCTATCGAGCAGTACAAGTCACTTCAAAAATTTATTTGCAAATGAGTCAATTTTATATTTGATTTCTCTGAACATAATTTACTATTAAAAGTAAACATCTCAAAATTTTTCTGTATTACACCATCTGTTGTTCTTTCTTCCAACAAATCAGGATTTTATTGAATTTTGTTGATTTTTGTTGCAGCTCAAAATTTAGTCGCAAGTTGAGGTTTGTTGACAACTTAGCTGAACTTGCTGCTATTGTGCCACTGGAACAGGCTAGCATCCCTGATCGAGTTAAACAGTAAGTATTTCTAAGTATCTTATTTACATTCTTTTGACAATGTCAATATGATTGACTTTCAAAATGAGTATTACTACTTACATATTATTTTGAATGTTCTGTGCTTCTCAGGTTTCAAAATTATTTCACTGAAATATAATTAATTTATTTATATAATGTGGTTGCATCATAGCTGATTTTAAATGTATATATTTATTTGTACAGACATCCTCTAAAAATAGAATCAACTCATGCCAGTGGTACAATGAACTTATAATTATTTTGATGTCAAAGGTACTTGAATATAATAGATGTGTTTGCTCCAGAAGAAAAGAGAATGGCTGAGTCTGACAAATTGTATCATCTTGTAAAAAAATTCATTTAAATTGAAAATTAAAATTGGAAAAAACAGTGATACTTAGTGTCATAAGTGCTGCACGACATGTACTGAAAGACAAATATTCATGGACACCATAGACAATAAATTGATTTTCTCTCAAAAATGGTGGATCTTCTGTAATGCACCATTCACCACTGAAAATTTACTATAATACACCGGCCAGGTTTGTTGCACAATGGGCAAACTCTTCAAGAAAAATCTCAAGGGCTGCCATTTGTTATCTCGTTTCTGTAGTAACACAATCCCTATACCAAAAGTCGATGCCTCCATAAGTAAGGCAATTTTAGCTTTCAGGATTTGGTAGGCTATGAGAGAAAACAAGAGGGTCTTTATTACTATCTGCTTTAGAAATGCATTTATGACAAAAATGTATCTCTCCAAGAAGTCTGCAGAGAACTTTCACATGATTTGGGTCTAAGAAGGTTGTGTGGCTCAAAGAAAAATTTGCACAAGGATGTGGAATGGTGGAATCAGGCAATCTTCATGGGCTTAAATAAGTTGATTGTGTGAAGCTGATGGAAGAATATTGGTGTGGAGAAAATGCAATGAGCAGTTGCAGGAAAGGAAATATAGCCGACAGTAAAACCCAAAGAGGTATGTGTAATGGTATAGGACTGTATGCTAGTCAACATCAGCTAGCTTGTGTTCCTTGAGGATATTAAGGACATGTATGGTTACTGAATAATCTGCACTAAAGGTCAGAAAAATGAATTTCTCTCTAAGTCAAATATTATCAAGACAATGATTTCAAGAACATCTTGTATAGTTCAAATGTGGCTACTACATAACTGCCAACTGTGCTAACTGTGGCAACTGTACAAACTTCTTTGTTCTTCAAAATTTCCAGATGTCAATCGTTTTGACAACTTAAGGCATAATTTAGAAAGTGGATTGAGTAAAGAGCCCATTTTCAACAAACGTTATCTGAAGATTAGACTGCGAGAAAAATGGAAGGAAATTTCTGCTGAATATGTGAGAAAACTTGTAGAAAGCATGCCAAAGAGATTTTATTTGGTACTGTGAATGAAAGATTTTCCTACAAATCATTAATTTCCTCTCTCATTCTCTCTCACTTTCTTTCTTTCTTTCTTTCTCTCTCTCTCTCTCTCTCTCTCTCTCTCTCTCTCTCTCTCTCTCTC